TTATTTTTGAGTTCCGAAATAATTTAAATATAAAATTTCCTTGATTTACTTGCAAAGAACAGAAGGTCATCTTTTTTATATAGTCAAACTTAAATTCTGTTTTATTCCACGTCGTTATCATTAAGTTTTTTTTGGATCCCATTTTGTATCTAACTTTTTTTGGTGGAATATAAAAAGGTTCGACAAATGTGGACAGCCTTCTATATTCTGCGCATGTTCTTTTCATGGCGCAAGCTTGCCATGCCTACGAAAGTAACTTCATAAATTTGACATGATGTTGACTTAACCTAATACCTAATGTTTTGATGTTTTGTTTTGGTGCAGTCAATCCATGCTGCTACACCTATTGAATTACATATTTATTAAATTAAATAATCATTTTAGATTCCGTCACGTGAAAATATTAATTTCACTTTACTTGAGGATATTCTCTTGAGAATATTCCCTCAAGGATACTAGTAACAGAATCCTTAGATACATAGTTAGCAAACCCGTGGATTTTGCTGTCACCCAGAGACCAGTGACTGGTTGTGGCTTTTGTGACCAGGATTCGTCTTTACAGCCACAAACTGATGTAGCCGTGCCAAGAGGAGTTTTTCCTATGGACTTATAGTGCTGTAAAGATAAGTCGTTTAACTATTTGACCTTTTGTATTACGTATTACTTTATATTTACTGTTAACTGATCATATGCATATGATAAGGTGAATACCTTTATGATAATTTTTTTTTGATAATTTAATTATAAAATATTCGGGAGGAAAAAGGGACACTTCATGTGTTATTAGGTTTTAACTAGGATTTAGAGAGTCTGACCAAACTCACTTTTTTTTGGATATAATATTTTTGTTAATATAATACAATTTGATATTAAGAGGGACATAAATTTAATGTGGTTTGTTTTTAAATATTATATAATGAGTATGGAACAACTCATTTTTTGGATGTAATATATATATTTAATATAATTGTAATAGAGATTTATCAAGTTTGATATCTTTACAATATTGTCATTAGTACCTCATTTTAGTAGAACTAATTTAAATTTAAATGACTACCTTTTTGTTTTAAGACTTTGGCTACCCTACGGACCATTCTTGTTGTATACTAATATTTCATATTTTATTTGGCCAGTGGTAGTGACTATTCATTTGTTGAGGGGCTATTAGGTCCTATTGTATCTGTACACCATCCACTACCACTGTTATTTGGCTTTGCATTATATGTAAATTGTTTATACACATATACCTATATACATTTGTTTATAAATATATTTATTGTTGCTATTTTGAGTTTTATTTCAGTTCTACTAACCAGTATATAACATAGCAAAACAAGATTAATATTTAGTATTTTTGTATTTCAGAGTATTACCTCCAGATTCATTTGTTACTTCAAAATCTCAACTATCGTTGAGTTGGCGCCCTTCTTTTCTCTTCTTATTGTTCTCTTTCTATAAATTTATTCCCAGTGACCTTCTTTAGTTGTATCACGTTTGATATTACCAGGTCTCATTTCGTTTCTTGTCTCATTAGCTCAGTATCCTTGCTATCTGTTTAAATCTTTAAAGCCACAATCCAGTGCATTGAAGCTAGCCCGAACACTCACTTGAGATTTAGTGTCTCTTTGGCCATTTAAATTTGTTCCTCTGAGCTTAGCCCTATTTTTAGTATTTTTTTTTCCATCACTTTTCTTTCAGTTCTTCTGAACTTTGTCAATTCACACATTTTTATTCGTTTCAACTTTAATTAAAACCTTAGTCAACATTTTAAATTCAATGTTCTTTTTAATTAAAGTGGTTATTTACTTTCAGGTTTACACTGATTATGGATTTAACAATCCGAAAACTTTCTGTAATGTAATTGTGATAGCCCGTTTGGGCATTTTATTATATACCTTTTATAAAGGATTTGAAATAAAGTTTTTGGTACTGTGTTAGTAAATTTCTATATTTTACACCAAGAAGTGTCAAATGAGAAAATTACTATAACAAAATTCAAAGATAAGCTCGTAGTATGCCTAGTAAAGTCCATTCAACTAAACTCTAATCCTAACGACAGTAATTTGTTGGGACACCTAGGTTCCAGTAATCGTCGGTGTGTTGTTTGTTATGAAACTATTGCAAAAACTGGACAAAAAATTGATCAATTGAAAACTCCTGAGTCAAGATATCTTTGTACCCAATGTAATAAGCATTAATATATGAGTTGTTTTTTTTTTAATACACTTTTCTTATTAAAATAACAATGAATGGAAATGATAGTTTTCGTTAGAAAATAAGTAAATAATAGCTGACTTGAGCACACAGTTTTTATCAGTAACTCACTTTTCAGGCTGTTATAATCAAATGGATCACATATTTCAGAGGCCAAATATAGTTTTTGCTGCTTACAGCCGTCTACTTTTAAACTGTATTAACCATACATTATTAAGAGAGGCCACAACTGCTTCTTACAGCTTTTATATTTTGTGATACATGAGAATCAATAATTGATTCTCGCGACTGTAAAGTCATATTACCCGTACATCACGTTATGCTTCTCATGGCAGTGAAAGTGTTAAGTCGAACGATTCTTATACCGTGGCGCGCCGACGTTTCTGGCCACATTTCAATATCAGACGTTTAGCTGATGCACCGTCATCAGCTTTGGTGAACAATTAGGTGAAAAGATTCCGCGCAACAGCTTCTGTCATAAATCACACACCAGCTGGTAGACCCAGAACTACGAGAACGCCAGACAGTATTGACAGAGTACGGCGCGCTGTACAAAAAACTTTTGCTGAGACAATGATGAACAAGTTTTGGAATGAAGGTGGTATCGAAAACATTATTTTTAGTGATAAAGGCCACTTCCATCTTAATGGATATACGAACTGGCAAAATTGCCGATATTGGGCTCAAGATAACCCGCGACAAAAACATCAACGACAACTACACTCCCAAAAAGTGACCGTACGGTGTGCCATGTCCGGCTGGGACATAATCGGGCTATATTCTTTTGAAGATGATGCAGGACAAACGGTTACTGTGAACAGCGCTCGCTACTCCACTATGATTCATAAATTTTTACGCTGCACACACTGCAGCAATGTCGATCAACGCAGCTATAGAACTGTTTCCTGGCACGGTTATTTCCATTCATGGAGATATTCTGTTTCATGTTCCTTGGGCTTGACCCCCTTAGATTTTTTCTATGGGGGTACCTAAAGAGTATCGTCTACACTGATCCAGTACCAGAAACAATCCAGCAAATGAAAGACCACCCTATCAATGCTATATGTGACATACCCATTCAGATGTGCCAGCGAGTTTTCCACAGCTTGCCCTCTAGACTAACAGCCTGCTACGAAGAAGACGGCCAGCATTTAAACGATGTTTTGTTTCAATAATAAATCCGCATTTTCAACGTATTTAACAAGTGTATTAAAATTGTTCTACAATGATTTAAATGTTTGTTTTATTCCTTTACAACCTTAAATCCATTATGAGACACCCTGTATTAAATAACATACAGGGTACGGCATAAGCGCGAGTCCAATTATTCATTTAATTAGTCTAATTGTAAAAGTGTATTACTAACTGTCTTGTTTTTTGTGAACAATTCTACCTCTTGCACATCAGACAAAGTCAACAATCAGTTGGCAAAATATTAAGTGACAAGAAAATACAATTGTATATATGTATGTATATTAGATTTGAAGTTTCCGCGGGAACTATATGTGATTTATGTGGTTTCCGGGTTTGATTCCGCGTTGAATAATTTTAATTTTTAGAAAAACCATTTTTTGACGAAGTTTCGGCAAGGTCACACTTGTCATTGTCAAGTCGGATTAGTTCTTTCTTCTTGATGTTCGAGGAGAAGCTTCTCTTCCAGAAAATCTGAATATATATATATATATATATATATATATATATATATATATATATATATAAAGCATGAGTAAGGGCAGTACTAACATACGCAGCGGAAACAAAAACTGAACCATCGCTTACCAAAAGATCGATGAGAACTACAGAAATAAAAGTATTAAGAACTGTAAAAGAAATTTCTCTCAGAGATAGAATAAGGGATGAGAATACATTAAGGAAAACTGGAGTTCAGGATGTGGTGAGATGAACACTAGCACGGCGCCACAAACGGAGACATCCTGTCGACAGAATGGACCCGCTAAGAATAGCGAAATGGATAGAAACACATAAATCCAATAAAAAAAGACCACTAGGAATATTCCCGAAGAGATGGTATGACAGCTGGATATCAATATCACAAGAGCTGGGATGATACAATAAACAGGAAATGGCATACAAGAAAAATAAGACCGTGCAAATTATCGTGTTTCTTTAACCTGAAAAAATAAATTGAAAGCGGTAAATTCTTACTTTTTCTTCAACGGCTGGAAACACTTGTCGCTTTCTCCACCAAGCATAGATTCGGGAATTTCAGATCAGAAAGGTCAGTGCTAAAATAGAGGCAGTGTAGCTTAAGACTGATCAGCTGCAAGGCTGGCTAACGGCAAATCGAGAACCGACCGAAGAGACGTTAGTCCAACACTCGAATATTTGTGTATGAATAGATTGTTTTCTGGTTCTAGATGGTTTAAGTCTGATTTTGAGATAAATAGCTTTAAATTCTATAATCTATTGCAAATCACATGTTTTATTAGAGTATATCTGTGATATACCATTATATCAGTAAAATTTGGAATTACTTTTTTATCACAATTAAAAACAAAACAAAAAGAGAAATCATACGATTTCTACCTGGCGAAACCGAATTCAAATCTTGACCATTGTGCTTTCTAAAACTTGCAAAGCAAACAGCTTGATAAATTACCAAGTAATAGAGTAGTGGCTATACCACATGTACACATCTTTTTTTAGATTTTAGTTAATTTGGATGTTTTTCAATGCCAGTTAATCTGATTTGATATCTAACATAGATTCACTGTACTGTAAAGGTAAACTAATTTTTCAGAAGAAAAAGAATGAACTAAACCTACCTGAATTATTTGTCACTTTGTTCGAACAAAGAACAAGTTGCATATCTTGTAAACTTTCATTACTTTTCTTTTCACTACTCGAACTATCCTTAGACTTACTAATTCTGCTAGCTTCATCTCGAATTTGTACCTCATAATTCTGCCTCCTTTTCTCCTCTTTTTTCTTGTACTTCTTTAATTTTTCCAGTTGCTTTTTTGACGCTTCTAGACTTCCTTTTAGCTCCATTAATTTTTTTCCTTCTTCAGCAATATGATCTTTTAGACTTTTGACATTATTTAATTTAGTTTCTAGCTGTTCCAATTCTGATTTATATTGTTCTTCTAAATAATGATTTTTTTGACTTTGAGCTTGTAACATTTTGGACTCTATATTTTCGCAGTCTTTCTTGAGTAATTGGTATTTTTGGTCAATTTTCACGAATGCATGAGATTGGGTTTCTTTATGCTGCAACAACTGTTGCATTAAATTCTGTTTCACTTTGATTGTCTGTTCTAAATCATTGGTTTGTTTTTGATACCCTTGTATAGCGGCATTTATTTGCTTTAATACTTTCTTCTTGGACTCATAGGTTAATTCATTTGATTTTGGGTCACCTTCTGGCACAGTATCTTCCTCAGGTACTTTAATAGAATTTGTTATGCTCCAAAGATCTATAAATAACAATTAAAATAATAATAATAATTTATAAATAATAAATTAGAAACAAATAATTATATTTAAGGAACGTTTTGTCAACACACCAAAAGACACCCTGGACAAAAACAATATTTTAAAACATATTGGCGTGTTTTAATTATGATAATTATTTTATTTTAATCTGTTACTGTCCGTCCTTTATTGTTATTAAAATACTAGTACACTTTTGATGTAGGGGAAGCCGGGGGAATATCGCGCGTCAGTATCTTGGCAACAGGGGTAAGTATTGCAACATTCAACACAGTGCGCCGTCTCATATTTGCTAGCCGACCACATGTTTGTAATATGACTGCATTCGTAGTATTGGTTTAGGCAAAGTTACAGATTGTTTGTTTTTCAAGACTTTGATGTAATTTTCGACTAATCTTTAACAAGCGGTTAATGCTTTTGTTATTAATTTTCATTAAAACTACTCAGTAATTATTTTGATTTATATGTGTAGATAATTTCACGTACAAAAATAATGCATTTTATTTAGTCATTAACGAGCAGTGATAAGTTAAGTTAGGTTACTTACTTAGGGGGAATACCGTGCAGCGGTGTCGGGGTAATTTCGTGCTACGCGGTATTACCCCGTGTAAGAATTTTTGCTGATATAGTGTTTTTATAGCATTTTAGATTCCAAAATTCCCCATGCTTACGTTCGGAAAACTGAAAAATCAAAATGGACAGAAGATGAACTAAAAGCTGCGATCACTGCTGTACGATCTGGGTAAAAAATACGAAAACCAGGTCGATCATTTAATATTTCAGAATCCACTCTACGTGACAAACTAAAATTTAATAGCCATAAAAAAATAAAACTTGGCAGGAAACCAGTTTTTAATGATGAACAGGAATACACCATAGCCAACCATGTTAAAAAGTTGGCGAATATGTTTTTTGGAGTCACACCGTCAGAACTAAGGCGTTTCGCCGCATGCCAGTTTGCTGAAGAGAAAAAACTACAATACCGTTTCGACTCGATAAAGAAGATCGCTGGTAAAGATTGGTTAGAACTCTTTTTAAAGCGTCATTTAGACATTAGTGTTAGGAAACCCGAAGATACCAGTCAAAACCGCATATCTGCATTCAATAAAGATGAGGTTGAACAATGTTTTAACAATCTGCTCACAGTTATGGAAAAGTTCAAATTTCCTAAGAGTCGAATTTTAAATGTAGATGAATCGGGCATTTCTACGGTCCAGAAACTATCAAAAATTTTGTCACCAAAATGTCAAAAGCAAGTAGGATCCGTATTATCTTGGGAAAGAGGGTAAAATGTTACCATAGTATGCACTGGAAATGTTTCAGGACAGCGTGTGTTTGTCTCTCCTATGTTCATATTCCCTCGAATACGTATGAATCCACACTTAATGAGAGGAGGCCCAATTTGAGCAATCTAAAGATGCTCAAAAGTTATCCGGTTAGATAAATGAAAAGTTATTTTTCGACTGGATAAAACATTTTTGTCAGCATATAAAAGCCTCGAAAGAAGATCCAGTGCTTCTCATATTGGATAACTATGGGAGTCACATTTCTTTGGAGATTTGTACTTACTGCAGATCACACGGAATTGTTATGGTTTCACTCTCCCCTCATACCTCACACAGGCTTCAACCTTTTAACCTAACTTTTTTTGGGCCCCTAAAGAATGCTTTCAATCGTGAGTGCGACTTGTATCTGAAAACTCATACTCATGAAAATATCACATATTTTGAACTTGCTTCCATTTTTAACAGAGCAAATCTGAGAGTTGCCACGATGGACAAAAGAATATCCGGGTTCCGTGCTGCTGGAATATGGCCCATAGATCCTAATAAATTCTCTGAAGATGATTTCAGCTTAGTAGATGACACTGAAGTTTCAGATATGCATCTTGTAATGGACTTATAGACGTTATCAATGATGACAGGGCCCTTGATCAGTCGAGATGTGACGAAACTCTGCAGAGAACTCCACTGGGAAATACTGAACCCCAACCGGGACCATTGAGATGTAATGAAACTACGCACAAGACTCCATCTTATAATGCCAAATTGAAATCAAATCAGCAAACTGCACCCCAGCCTGGAACACCAGGAAATATTAAAACTAAGTCTAGCATACCTATTGAAAAGCTAGCTCCTCTTCCTTTCAAATTTATAAAGAAAAGTTCCAAATCACGTGCAATACAATACTCATAAATTTTCACTACCATGCCCATAAAAACGCAATTAGAAATAAAACAAGAAAAGAGAAATATTAAGAAAAAAGCTGAAGAGGCCAAAAAAAAATGAAACCAAGAAAAAAACGACAGAAACCGTAGGAAAACTGGCTACTAAAGCAAAAAAATGACCTGTACGCAAGAAAGCTGGGGTTAGAAACTTATATGTTGATGATTCTGAGTCTGAAAGTTATGATGAGAGTAAGCTTTGTAATGATGATGAATTAGATTATGTAGATCTAACATTAGAAAATGAGGAGTGTTTGGTGTGAGGTGAATTCGGACGAGACAAAGAAATTTCTTACCATTGTGTAATGTGTTCGACTTAGGCTCATTCAGAATGTAGTGGTTGGGACTCAGCAGTTAATTATACATGCGATATATGTGCCAAGGTCAAACGAAAGATAGTCAGAAAATAAAATTATCTCTTTAATATATTTTTTTTTTATTTTATCTTTTAGAAATCTGTTTTGTTTACAATATTTGCTTTATTACAATAATTTTTTTTTTTCGAATAAAGATTTATTTAATTCTGCGCAGAATTACCCCGTACTTGGGGGAATACCGCTATAGCCTATAATATCTCAGAACCTACTCTCAGAAGATATGTTAAAAAATATCCAGATGAGGTAATTTGTGTATCCTAGTTATTTTGATTTTTTAAAAGTTAACTTTTATAATTCAGAATTTTCCTGAAAATGCTGGTCGCTTTAAACAAAACTAATGACAAACAACTAAATCAACTTAAAAAATATGTGATAGATATAGATAAATGGAAATTTGGATTAACCATGGATCAGTTTAAATCCATGGCTAATTTAGCAAAATTGCTTTCAACTTTGCTGTTGATGACGAGATTTAATCTATCACTCCGCAAACCAAAAGCAACTTCTGCTGTTGGATTAATGCCTTTTAATAAAGGTAATGGTTAAACAACAAACTGAAAGAAATGAGTAATATATTTAAAAAACGAGTTCCCTCTGTACTTGTTGACACTAATAACAAAATTATTGTAAATGAGCAAGAAATAAGAAAAGAATGGCAGCTGTAGGTATATATCAGAGTTGTTTGAAGATGATAGGAATAATATTGCCGAATTCTACCAAAACTGTACTGACGGCACAGAAATTATGAAATGCGAAGTAGAACAAGCTATAAATAATGCTAAAATTAGAAAAGCTTGTAGTCCAGATGATACACCAACTGAGTTGCTGAAACTAATAGAGAATTATACCATAAAAGTAGTAGTAAGATTTTATTCAATATATAACACCGGAGTGATTACCGCAGATTGGCTCAAATCCATCTTATCGCAATACCTAAAAAACACAATGCGAGAAAATGCTCAGAATATCGATTAATTAACCTAATGAGCCACACTCTTAAAATTTTCCTCAAAATACTTCACAACAGAATTAAACGCAAAATCGAAGATCTTGAGATACCCAATTTGGTTTTAGAAATGCTATGGGAACCAGGGAGGTCCTTTTTGCGCTTAACATCCTATTACAAAAATGCCGCGACCAAAGAAAAGATGTATTTGCATGTTTCGTGGACTTCGAAAAGGCATTCGATAAAGTACAGCAAGTAAAATTAATGCAAATACTGAAAAATATCGGAATAGATGACAAGGATATTCTTGTCATTAAAAATTTGTACTGGAATCAAACTGCTATGGTAAAAATTGGAGATAACATCGATGAAATCCCAATACAACGAGGAGTTAGACAAGGTTGCATTCTGTCGCCAACATTGTTCAATGTTTACTCGGACCAGTTATTTAAAAAGGAACTTTTTAACCATAAAGACAATCATATGGAATAAAAATCAACGGGGAACTACTTAATGTGATTAGATATGCAGACAATACAGTAATTCTATCAGATAATATTGAAGGTCTTCAAATTCTGCTTGATCGTATTCACGAGGTAGAGAGGAAATGGGCATTAAAATAAACTCAAACAAAACCAAATTTTTAGTGTTTAGTCATTACCCACATCCCAATGCCAATCTTCAATTGAATGGAGTCCAAGTTGAGAAAGTTGGTGTTAAAGATACCTTTAACACACAATGTTTTGAAGCTTCGATAGAATGTGATGCTTCCGCAATGAGCATAAGCATGCTTGAATTTTTACTCGCGGGTAATTATTCAGATTTTAAAAATTGGAAGTAGTAATAATGTATAAAAACATGTTCAAAGAATTTTAAAAACCGAGAGTTTAACTATTAACAAATCACGTCTGTATAGAAAAATTAAAATACAATTTTATTTGCTTTAAAATTAATATAATTAAATATAGTTGAATTCAAGTTAATTTTTTAATAGGTATCAAAATAATGCTATAATAAAAAATCTTTATGTTTTCTCCTAAATTTGCTACCCAAATAGTTTGATCGTCAATATTATTTGGAAACCTACATAGAAAAATAAATGAGTTTTATTCATTTCACTAATTTATTTGTATCCATGAGAAATATTAAATTAAAAAGGTACTAAACAGATCTTTTTCAATCAGATGATGTCTACTTACAATTTAAAAATGTCTACTAATTTCATGAACTCATATCTTATTCAATACATTAATGAATATGAATAAACCCAATGGTACACCTATTAACATGTAAACAAACACGCTTCCTCATTTCCTCATCTTAAATAATGTAAATTGTATGTACTTACAAATGAAATGAGAGATCGGGATGTAAATATTTCGTTTATTTTATTTCACTTTTCACAAATATCACTCAAAATACAGCCAAAATATCGAAAAATATTTTTTCCTCATCTACTGTAAAAAGTAATCAAAACATGGAACAGCATTTGAAGTTTGATGTAGATCCATAAGATAGAGAAATGTAAACAACCGTTGCCATTTTTAAATAGTTTTCAGTGCTTCTACATATAAAATAATTGATTGATATCTATTATGTGCTATTATTAAATGATAATGCACACTATGTGCACACTTGATATTTTGATTACAATTAAATATATTAATCTAACCAATAAATTATTATTTTGGTTTGATAGCACCTGTAGAGTATAAAATATGGAGTAATATTTTAAGCGACTCGCGATTAAGAAATTTTAAAACAAAACGTGACAACAGTTGAAGGTGCTGAGAATGTGAAGTATTCAAATAATTTTGACTACACAAATTTATGTAAATAACTAAGTCCATCTGTGTTTATACATCCACGTAAAGGACCAACTAGATCCAGACATAGAAATAAAATGAAGAATAGAAATGACTAAAACTACTTTTATGAAAATGAATTCATGAATGTGTTGCTTGTGTGAGTGAAGCTTGTTTCACTCTGTCTAGAGTGAAATTTTTTCTATGAACAAAACGAATAATTTTTTTTAAACTGGACCTTTTTTAGTTTGAATAAATCAAATTGAAACAAAAAATTAACTGTGCTAGGAGTCCTCTAAACATTATATTAAACAAGATAATTGTTTGTTTAAATAGAACTACAACTACTATTAAAAGGAAAAATGTGAGCTTACCTACAGAATGAACACTACCCCTTCTACATCTTGCTCCCTTTGAATGGTAAGTATTACTGGAACTATTTGGTGTATCTTTAGTATCATCAGAACTACTGTTATCAGTATTGTTACATTCTGTAATAATATGATCTGTGGCTAGTCTAAAATTATCCATTAATCCATCTAATTTTTCAAATAAAGTTTGAGATTCTTCTTCCTCAAGCACACTCTCGCTTTCACTAAGTACACTTTCAGAACTATCTTCAATTTCCTCTTCAATTCTTTCTAAAGATCTATGTGGTTCTGAATTTTCACTTAGGCATTCCTCGCATTCTTGTTTTAAAGTTAACCATTGTGAAATCTGGTCCACTTCAGTTTGATTTAGGCCACCATTTAGTACCAGCTTTTGAAATAGCTCTTCAGCATTTGAAACTAATTTAAATAATTGGTTGGCAGCAAATTGCAACCCAAACACATCTAAACTATCCTGAATTGTTTCATATGTAACATAAGAATTGACTGTTACAAAGTTTTTTATAAGTCTACATCTAAGTGCCAATTGTAGAGAGTACAAAGTTTCCGTAAAGTCTTGAATTAAAGGAGATATACAACATATTACTAAAGTCTTAGCACGTCCTCCAAATGAATCTCTTAGTAATGTAGTTAACACTGATTGGTTAAAAGGCACATGTTCTATATTGAATTGATTAGCATAAGGCTCAGACAATGTTACAACACATTGTTGAAGAGCTCTTAATCCTGGATCTACAGGCAAAGTTTGCATGATGCCATTGCTACCATATACCATTACTTTTTCACTGCCAGAGAGATCTGCAAAGAAATACATGGTATACAAATATAGTTGATTCTCTAAGGTTGGGAATATTTTGATAAAGTGAGTGTTGGAAATATACAACATAAAAATGCCTACCACTAAATTATTAATAATTGGAAATAAACTTACTGTTACAGACTTATTTAATTGGAAAAAGAATAATTATTATGAAGAATGAATGTTTATATTCACTTATTTTAATTAAAGACCTTTCATTTGTAAATACTACAAAATTTCAAACTATGAAATTAAAAAAATAAAACCATTGTGTGTTTTATTGTTTAATTGATGTAATTTTATATTGCTGATAAATTGTATGTGAATATTTTTTTTAATTTTAGGATACAATTAACATTGGCTATTGGCATGTGTGCTCAGTTGTATAGTAACTTCCAGACACTTCCAATGAAAGTCAAAATTCGAACAACATAGCATAAAATTAATTACTAAATTTGTGTGTGCTTGGGATATTGACTGTGAAACAATTACTAAATTTAATAGACAATTTACATATTAAAGTGTTTACAGAATATACCAAATAGCCTCATGTACAAATCCTTGTGCTTTTACTTTGCTGAGATCAAAAAACAGTTGGAGGTGCAATCAGTTTCAGATCATAGTTTTAAAAAGGTTACACAGTGAGTGCTTGGATACAAAACCAAAGTAGTAATAATAACTAAAATAAATTTCATATTTAATCAGTTTCTCTGGCAACATTAATTCAAGATAAAACACTACCCAATATTAGTTTTAACCTGTGACCTATTCTTGATTTAGCATTACTCTTTTATAATATTAATAAGTATATGTATATATTTTGATCTGTTAATAAATTATTATTTCACAAGTCTAGATACCTGCAAAACTTGCTGTGGCTATCCTATGTTGAACAGTTGAATCAATCACCCACTGCTGTTCCAAAGTTAAGGTAAATAATGAATGTGCCCCTTTTGGTGTCAAATTGGACAAGCCTATCTGAATATGCCTAAATGCATCTAAAATTCCCATACACTCCACACTGGAACCACCTATCAAATCTTGAACTGTCTCCCCAAAAATCTGAGACCAAGTTATATGAATTGAATAACTTCTATCTCTATATTGGCCAACTTTGGTGAATACTTCTCTTATAAATCTTGGTATTATACCGTGTTCGGCCTCACTTGCTGCAAAATGAAAACCAGGTCCAAATAGAGTATAACTTTTTCCTGTTCCAGTTTGACCAAAAGTAACTATGGAAACATCACAACCTTCCAGTAAAAGATTTACCATTGGCATAACAGCTGTAGAAAAGATTGAGCTTTGACAAGCATTAGTTGGCAAAGCATAATTTACTGGATACACTTGATTATTAAGTTGAATGGTGTTATTAATGGAATTGGTTTGAACACAGACCATTTCTCCATTGTTATATTCCAAAGGACAAACTCTAACAGCAGTTTCAATCTGAACTTCCATTATGTTTATAATTCAGTCGCTTATAATATTAGAAATTAAATATTTTTGAAAATTTTATCCAAAACAAAATTCTCTGATAAGACATAAACATTTCTCTCGCAAAGTTATTCACAATCACAAATTCAATATGAAAACAATTAGAATCAGTGTTGCCACCTTGTCATTTGTCAAAAATGTAAGATAGGCTTGTCACATAAAACCAGAGAGAAAATAACCAAAACAAAGAAAAATAATTAATGATTAATAAAAAATTTATATTCATATTGTTTTATAAAATTAAAGCATTAAAAACATTCTAAAACATGAGCGCCTATTAAAACATAATCCATTAAAATGGTTTGGAGAGCCCAATGTTTTCAAATTCTGGACCAAAGATAGCATTATTTTAATAATTTATCAGCTATATAGCAACAAAGGGCAAATTTTTATTGAAATTGAAGTTAAAATTAAATTCACAGCCAATATTCATAACAATAAACATTGACAGGTATCGCTATCTGTGACGCTATGGTCGGTTACAACCTGTTTAGAAATGGTCATACAAATGAATTTGCCTAGAACCCATAAAATAAAACGCAGAAGCCACATAACCTCAATTCAGTTTAGTTTCCACTCCACGATTACCACATGACATTAATGACAGTGCAGTTGTGAATGAAGGGTTCAATGGTGGAAATTGTTTAAATGTTAATATATTTTTATTGGTTAAACATAACATCATTAAATTTTTGTGACAACGTCACTAACCGCTAAATTTTCCCTTTTCTTACTTTACCGTTTTCAACTTATTTCAAAAAGATGAATCCTGGAGATTACGAAACGCTTCCCACCGATAATGTATCATCCCATATGATAGCTGGAGCGATAGCTGGTATTATGGAGCACTGTGTTATGTACCCCCTCGATTCAGTCAAGGTTAGTATCCTGTTGAATCTTCTGTTGTTTATATATATGCACAGGTGGGCCACTTAACCCGAATTAGTATGGGCTTTGAATACCATCCGACTCGATTTAGAAAAATTTAAGTAAATCATTTACGTAAATACTTTATTATGTACCCGGTGTTGTTTCCTCTAGTATTGTAGAAAAGTTAACAATCATAGGCTGTAAATACCAGAGTTTAGCAATTACAATTGATAAATTATATTAACTCAATTTCTAGGAATATGTAGTTAATGTAGTTCTATCATAATTTTCCATGCATAATTCATATGATTGACCATGAACTGCCATGGTTTATATTTTTATGGTTGAAAAATAAAATATATTGCTACCTGTTAAGTCTTAACTGGTACATATTTTAATAAGCAGTATGCTTTCTTTTTAAACTGCTCTTAATAATTGTTGCATAATATAAAAATAAGGTCAAAACATTTTTTATATGCATATTTTAATATGTAACATCTTAAAATCTATTATTTTATTTACAAATTTGTACATAATAAATTTATTTCTACTTTCTAATGTCAGATTTTAGGGTTAGAGTTATGTCATATGTTAGGTTAGAGTTTAAATCTAATGTTCTTGTATTATATTTTTGATATGATTTGATAATGCATTTTTGTTACTTTAAAGTACATATTTATTGTTCATATGATGAACATTTGACCATTCATAAGACATATGTATATCTAATAAAAAATTAGTTCATTTAATGCTATTATTGTGGCATTTTGCCAAAATTAAAAGAAAAATCTTAATTTTTATTTCTGAAGGTGATATGTAAATTTATGTATCTAATAAAAAATTATTTCAACAATAACAGTTGTTTTGTGAGATTAATTTTTTATTTTCATTTCTTAAATGTTACATATGAATTTAAAACATCTACAGTTTCATTATTCCTGAATAATCTGTGTTTTTATTTCTATTATTTTTTGTAAATATTAAAAAGTGTTTGGGACACTTCATAGAAGGGTGCATATTATTAAAAAATATTAATACATACTTCTTTTGCACAACATAAAATTACTATATTTGACAATTGAAAAAGAGCAATACAATTTTACAGTAAAAAAATAAATATTTATTGATAGTTTTTAACCATTGTTGACATATTTGAAGACTTAAAACTGTTATAATTATCAACATTTACAATAAAAATAGTAAATCGTGTTGACACTCCCCAAATTAAGGAAACTGATAACAAAAAATAAATGATATTTAAATATTTTAAAATTAATTGAGGTAATGGGCTTATCTGAAAATATTGAAAAATGTTAAACTACAAGGAATGAGTTAATAGACCTAAACAAAGAAAATATAGACTGGCAAATGTTTGGAACAGATTTAAAAATTTAACCATGTCTACAAAATCATTAAGCCTTTTAAACCTCAAAAAAATCTAGAGCTATGGTTAGATTAAATTATATTATAGCTAGAAGAAATCAAAAGAGAAATAGATCTCAAAAATCCAAACATTGACATGACTTCTTTATTTCTATTAGACTATATAGTTGCAATGAAAATAAACAAATAAAATACAACTTAATATAAAGCAAAATTTTAAAATGCCCAAATGTATGAAAAAAATAAAATTTAAGGGTTTGTGCTATCACAACTGTTTGACTCATTATTTGAATTTAGTGTAAGACATTGTAATGTAAACAAATCAAGTTTAGGTCTCATCAATTAGCCTATATTTTTCCACTGCTGAACATAGGCCTCCCATAAAATTTTCCACCTATTTCTATCTTGAGCTTCTTGTATCCAGTTTGTAGTGATGTGCTTGATATCATCTGTCCATCTAGTCGGTGGTCATCCTCTGCTTCGATATGCATTTTGCCTTGGTAGCCATTCCAGACTCTTTCTGGTCCATCTATAATCCTTTAAACTGGCAACATTTACCGAATATTGATCTTTCCATAGTGCATTGTGTAACTCTTATTTTATCTATTGTTCTTTTTATCGGAGTCAGTGTTTCTGCACCATATATAAGAACCAGTAAAACACACTAGTTAAAAACCTTTCCTTTTAAACAAACTGGGATAATAGACTTGAAAATGTTATTCAATCTACCAAAGGCAGCCAATGTGAGACCTATCCTTCTTTGTATTTTAGTTGTCTGATTATCTCGGCCTAAGCGAATCTCATGCCCTAGATATTTGTAAGGTATTACTTGGTCAGTGCTGTGGCTCTCAATCAGAATTTTATTGCTGACTACAAGGTTGGACATAAATTTTGTCTTTGAGGTGTTAATTTTAAGACCAATTGTTTTTAACACTGTATAGAGGGTGTGCAGAATTTTTGTAGCTTTATCAACTCTATCAGATATTAAAACAATGTCATTGGCAAATCTTAGTTGGTTCAGATCTTCCCCATTTATATTAATTCCCATATTATCGTCTCGTTCCATTTGCTTGAACATATATTCAAGGACAGCTGTAAACAATTTAGGGGAGATAGTATCACCCTGTCTAATTCCACATTCTATTCGAAACTACTCTTGGTATCTTCATGAAGGCAGACACAAGTTGTACCAGTTTTGTAAATACTTTTAATCAAGGCGATATATTGGTAGTCAATGCAGCAGTCAGCCAATGCTCGAAGCATTTTATAATGATCAATAGTATTGAACACCTTTTCATAATCTATGAATATAAGAGAGATAGGCTTGTTATACTCTGTACACATTTCTATTAGTGTTTTTATAACTTGTAGATGATCATTTGTTTCTTATCTGGAGCGGAAGCCAGCCTGTTCACAAGGTTGGTAACTATGCAGTTTTTTCACAAGCCCTTTTTTTATTATCTTCATGAATAGTTTGTATGTATGGGAGAGCAAACTAATAGGTCTGTAGTTCTTTCAGTCTGAAATATCACCTTTTTTGTGCATTATAGTTATTATTGCATTATGCCACTGGGAGGAGGTTAACACCTCTTCTCAAACAAACATTGAACATCTTTTTCAACCCATTTACTAACATTCCTCTTCCTTTGATTTGTTCAATGGCTCTCCCATCTTCTCCAGGTGATTTATTGTTTTTCATCTCCGAGAGAGCTGATTTTATTTCCTCTGTTGTGATATCTGGGATATCTTCTGAGCCTACATTTTGAACTTTTGGTATTTGATTTTGATCAGGATCTGGAAGTTCTTCTCACTTATACAATTCTGAGTAAAAATCTTGAGCAATTTTTAAAATATTTTTCTTATTTGTTGTAGTTTCTCCTTTTTTATTTACAAGTTTACAAATATTTTTCGATCCTTCAGTCATTTTTCAGCGCAGAATTTCTAAACTTTTATTTTTATCAATGGCTTGAGTTATGTATTCAGTGTTGTAATTTCTGACATCTTTTCGAATGGATTTTGTAATATATTTCTTTAACTGTCTAAGTGTTACAAAATTACCTGTGTATTTGTGTTTCAATTCTCTTCTTTTGTTTATAAGATCTTTAGTAGCTTGAGTGAGTTTATCCATCTTGTTTTTTCCTTTTTCCTTATATTTTCTATGAGCATTTCGAATCGCACTATTTATTCGCATGTTTGTCACCTCTATATCTAATGCATTTTCATTTAGATGTTCTACTTCTTTTAGTTCTGAAGTTATGAGATTCTGATAAGCTACTCTATCTTGTATCAATTTCCATTTATTAGAATGCCTCTCTGTTATCATTGCTATCCTCTCTCGTCTAATGTTAATCAATATTTTTGCTGTAACCAACCGATGGTCACTCCCAACAGTGATTTTATTAATTACTGTAACATCTTGGACAATATTTTTTCTGTTTGTGATGATGAAATCAATTTCGTTTTTTATTATCCCATCTGGACTAGCCCACATCCGCTTACGTTGTTGGTTCTTTTTAAAAAATGTATTCATCACATAGAGCTGATGATGCAACAACCAATTTAGTAGCACACCTCCTCTATCATTTCGCTCACTGTATCCAAATGAGCCCATAGCCACTTATGCATTATTTTTTTTAAATCCAAGTTTATCATTAAAATCGCCCATTAAGATTAGGTGGTGGGTTTTATCTTTTTTTTATAGCTCTATTTATTATCTTCATAAAAGTTTTTGATTTCTTCATCGCTATGGCTTGTTGTGGGTGCATATACTTGGATAATTTTAATAAAGAGTCTCTCGTTCAGTTTTAATATGAGGTACACAACTCTTGAGCTTACACTCTCTATTTTTATAATTGTATCTAGGTGTTTCTTGTGCACGAGAAAGCCTTGGAAAGAAAAGAAATAACTGTTACCAGTTGAGTTTCGGAAAAATAGACCCCCATAGATCAGATTGTCGACTTTGAATATCAGTGACATTTTGATAAGAGTATTGATTAAAATCCTCTTGTTTCTCTGCATCTAAAGCATAATAAATCTGATTTTGGTTCAGAAATTGAGTTTTCTTCAAAAGATGGCATGTAGTTTCTACCTGTTAGACTTGTCACTAGAAAATGGCTCTTTATCATTGTTACTTAATACTTCGATAGTTTCTTCACACATATCAGTATTCTCAGATGAGTTATATTCCATTTCTTCTTCCAACACATCTTCCCTGATATAATTGTCTCGATTTACTGTTTCCTCATATGACTACTCCTGTGACCATTCCAAAATAATTACCATTTTGCTCTTGTATTGGATTATTATCAGGTGAATCGTCATAATCTTTCTAGTTTCTGTATAATGACTTTTGGTTGAGAAGATTGGTTTTATTTTTCAGTTTTAAGAGCTAGTTGTAATATTCTTGTTGCTCTTTTACTTATTTTTGAAACACTGGAACAAAAATTACATTTGTATAAAATAGTGCAATGAAATGAACAATTAAAATGTAACAATAAAACACTGAAAATTTTGTTTTCAAAACTTATCGATTTCAAAATCTATTTTTGGCATGCATTTACACTTTATAGTCTTTAATAAAATAGGTTGAGAATGGGAGAACTGTTTGTCTTAAGTTGGTCGTTCAG